TGTAGTCAACATCTTCAGCAGGAGATTAAGTTAGTTGCATATAAGCTTCGTATCATGCTATACATAATGTATGTAGTGTGTATATATCATATTAATGAGAAAGTGGGATTTCCTTATGTCTAATAATTTCCCCTTCATGTGAGATCATGCATGGCCGTAACCTAGCAGATTTTTGTTGTTCTGTTTTATTGGTTCAATTTTTTTTTCATTAAATATATAGAGTGCTTTAGTTACTTTTTTTACTTTCTAATTTTAAAGATCCTCTTTTCCATGTTTTGTGACTCCTTGCCCAAATAAAATGAATGCATAGTTTCATTTTCTGCATCATAAATTGATGAAAGTAATGAAGCTTGATAGATGAGTGGCAAACCAGATCCCCATGGCTTAAAAATAAGTTTCATGAAGGAAATAGTGAAATTTGTGAAGTCAGTCCAAGGTAAATTTCTATCAGATACATACTCTAACTTGTAATAGTTTGAATGGCATTTGATGACCTACATTAAATGAATTGATTGCCATTCATTTTTGAAGGAGCAGGTGTTCCAAATTTCATCAGAAAGGCTGTGGATTTGTTCTGGACTCTAGCTACCAATTCAGAGCCTGACACTAAAACACTCACAGGTCTGTGGGATCATAAATATATCTGCTTGACTAACGTAGAAGGACTGTCTTTGTGCTTAACTATGCTGACAGGAAAAAAAAGAACTTGGATTTTATACTTTAAAGTAGCATAGAACAACTCAAGTGAGTATTTAGGGTTTAGAGCCTAGATGAAAGGTTTCTATTAGTATATTCAAATGTGATTGTTTATAATGCAGTTGTGTTTTAAAGACTTCATAGAATTAGATCGTACTGTTCTAAGAGTTTGCACATCATCTACTCCAAAGAACATTCAGTCTAGGTATAAAATGAGATAATTGATGGACATAGGCAGCATGCTGATGTAATGCTACAGCATTGGTCAGTATAACAGAGATAAACATTCCTGATCTATTTTAAGTCCAGATAGGAAAAAACATCCTGACAAGATGTTTTGACTTAAAAATGCCTGTGTTATGTGTACCATGTGCTTATGATGGTATTGGAATACTTGAGTTGTATTGACAATGCCAACTAAACACAGAAAATGTAGTCACCACCTTGCTAAATCATGTGTACTTTATTGCCTTGTTAGATAAAGCTGCCCCTTGGCAGCCTTTCCCATCATCATTGTTTTATTAATGAGTAGTTTTGCTTTGCATTTTGAAACAAGACATTCCTCTTCTGGCAGACTGTGCTTTCTGAGGATGCTAATGCAGATTGTATATGAAATGAGTGATGACTCTCAATGTGACAAAACACGTAAGTAATTTATGAATTATAAAGCCTCTTATAGGCTACTAAGCAAGCATATCCAACTGTGTGAGGATGAAATTATCATATCAGTTATGTATTTTTAAAAGAAATTAATTTCTTTTTTACTTGCTTTTACGAAGCAGTCTACTCCAGGGTCTGTTTCATCACAAAATAGTGGCAGACAAATTTTGTTAGGTTGTTTCTGGTTTTCTCTTTCGTTTAGACCTCTCGGAAATCAGAGCTTCTTTTCCATTTTGACAGTGGACAAACTGGTGAAGACTTTTTGATATGCTTCAGTGTAGGAAGTCTGTAGTTAAGAGATAAGTAGCAGTGATTATTGACTGACTTTTTTATTTTCAAGGACAAGATTAAAGACTGTGAAATATTGTTCCTTTCATTGATCCTTTGATGTTAATGGGCAAACACATACTGATTTCAGTAGGTCTAGATTGTTGCTCTGTCTGCATTTTTGAACAAATTTACTTTAGAACTTGATTTATGATGATTAACTTATTTCCAAAGACAATATCTAAGCCTTGCCCAGCTAGTATGACATTTTCTTTTTTTTTTTCTTTATTTGCGAAATTAATCAGTGTTTGAAGAAAAAGCATGATTAGAGGCAGCACAGCCAAAATTCTACCTCAGCTGGAGATACCCCTGCCTTTATTTATTTTTTTTTAAGAGAGTCTCAGAAAATAAGAGCTTGGAAATACACTGCTTAAGTTAGTCAGCTTTGGGGAGTTTTTCAAAGACATAATACCCACCAAAATCTTTTGTTTATGGCAAGTAGGTGTATTAGAGACATCTTGTAACATCTTTGTGTATGTAGTCCAAGAATTCCAGTACAAAATAATTTTTTGTAGTATTTTTTCACTTGAATTTATTATTAGGTCAGGCAGAGTAAGAATACAAGCATGAGACTTCATTGGAAACTTGCTTATTATTCTTTTTTTACATCCTTTAACACAAATTCTATACCAAGTGTTGGCTGGCCAAGTAAATGGAAGGAACGTGTATAATAAACATTTTTTGTGGTGTTTTTTTTTTCCTCCTCTTCAAATTTGAAGTATATAGTATACAGTTCTTGCTTTTACTCTGAAAGAAAAATTTGAACGAGTGCGGAATAAGAAAGAACATAAGTTTATTTTACTGCCATACAACTATTCTTGATGTATCTTGGAAGATATTTCCCTTGACTGTTGGTACATTTCTGAGCTACTGCAGCGCTGCTTGCTTAAGAAGTGTGTGCTGAATCTAGGGAAATTTTGTTAGGTCATTTCAGCTTTTACTTCTGCTTTCCCTGAAGAACGTTCATATTCATGCTTGGGTTCTGCTCTCTACTCCAGTGTTTATTACAGTGCCATTTTTAATCCTTTCTTTCCTCAGCTTTCAGAGAAGTCCAGATCAGCCCTGTCCTGTCTCCTTTACCATGCAGTGGCCACTGTGACTCACTATTGATGCCTTAGCTTGTCACATTCACTTTTGACTTCAAGATATTTGCAAAGTTTGGAAGAGGAGTTACTAGCTAACAGTAGGTTCTAATGACTACTAGCAGGATGTCATAAACATGAATCTCTTTGAGATGGGAGAAAGGTAGAAAAAATGGAATGATGCAGTAATTGAAATCTCTGTGCTTGACTTGTGCACTTCTAGTAGTGTGCAATCCACAAGGTGAAGTGCAATGTGATTTTTTTTTTTTTTTTTTTTTTTTTCTCCCAAGATCATCCTTGTAATAAGAGATTATGTTTTCAGAAAGGACACCTTGAAATGGAGATACCCAAAGCTAGCCAGTTAGGTGTTTCCTGTTCTTGTGGGTGTTGAGTGCAAGGCATTTCAGTGCTTTTGGAAAATGAAAGCATTCTAATCTATGTGATGAAAAAGCGTGACTTAAGAGACCTTATTTTTTATTTTTATTGTGGTCAGCTCTATGCCTTTGCAAATCAGGCAGTTGCCTGCATACAGCAAAGCAGCCTTGATGGTGTCCTGAGGTGTCCTCGGGACTCCTTCCTGCTGGCTGGAACAGACTCGTTCTCTGCTCCCCCGCTGCTCAGAGGTCTGCAGTGCCACCAGGACACGAGCTCTCCCCAGTTCATCCTGGAAAAAATACGGAAGCTCCCAGGCAGAGGAATGGGCAGATAGATCCCTGTTACTGTCGGGAACTGTGTAAGAAGGAGACAGGTGACATCTGCTTCCCCTTAGTCTTTCAACCCCGACTCCTCTTTTCCTTCGCTAGCCCGCATTTGTCTTCCTGCCCAGCCCTCGGGCCGTCCGATCTCATTTACGGGGGCTACCGCCAGATCCGCAGACAGCTGTAGTTTCTTGGCCGCGGCTTTCGGCGTTGGGCCGCTGCGTGGCGGAGCGGCGGCGGCAGCGCAGCACAGCAGCACCTTTGACGTGCCCGTTCCCCACGTGACGGCCGCTCCATTGCGGGGCGGGCGCTGAGCTGCCGCCGCTCCGCCAGAGCGGGGAGAGCCGCAGCCGCAGCGTGTGTGCGTGCGCGCGTGTGTGTGATGAGCGATCGCCGCGTCCCTCCGCCCGCCGCCGGCTGACACCCCCAGCGCCGGGCGCGCCAGGAGCAGCGGCAGGAGGAGCCGAGGAGCCGCGGCCACCCCGCACTGACCTTGGCCCGGGAGGTAACCGAGCTCCGCGCCCTCCCCGCGGCCGTGCCGAGACCTCTCAGGCGCCGCTGCCGCTGTCCGCGGTGCTGAAAGCGCCGAGCCGCTCTGCCCGCAGGGCTCCCCTGGCCCTTTGCCGCTGGGAGGTGCGGGCACGGCGGGGCAGGCGCCGGGCGGGGCGTGCCGAGGGCGAGATGCGGCTCAGCCCCCATCGGGAGGTCTGGGGAAGGGTTCGGGGGGGCTCCGGGAGGAGATGCTTGGGGCAGAGCTTAGTCCGCCCCGCTCTCCGCAGCCTCCGGTGCCGTCTGTAGATGGAGCACATTCTTACACCTGCGTGCAAAGCCGGAGCTACAGCAGGAGCTGAGCGCTCAGTGCGGCTCCCGGGTGAGCGTGGGGGGGGGGGGGGGGGGGTGGGGGGCGGCGGGGGAGGGCGGGAGGAGCCGGGGCTGGCGGCTCAGACGAGGCTTTGCGGTGAACTCCGGTGAAAGTAGCTGAAAGCAAGCGGGAGCGCGTTGTCGTGTTTTTGTTTGGTGTCGAGAGAAGTTTTTAAGGAGGCTGTTCTTCTCACCGTGTGTTTGAGGGTTGTGGAAGTTGCTTTTGTTCGAGCCGTGAGATTAAGGCAGACCTGAACACAAAGTCTTGGGCCCTGTCAGTTCCCCCTCATCCCCCCCCCCCCCCCAACCTCTGGTCAGGAGGGTGCTGAGCATCCCTGGTTGGAAGTGCATATCTGGAGGGAATGCGTGGGGCGAGGCTCCTCATGATGTGGTGGTTAGTGAGATGTCAGGGAGCTATTTGGAGAGACAATTCATTAATGTCTGAATTAGATTAACATGTTACATTCATTATTTACAGGCAAAAGAGAGTAGTGACAGTAAATGCTGAATTAGCTTCAATGTAAATATCTGTAGCAAAGTTTAGAGCATACACTGAATCTAATAACATCTTGGTATAAAGTCACATCCATTAATCATCAAGGAGGGAAGGAGACCTGAGGAAGTGTCTTACTGAGACCACTTGTACCTTTTACAGCGCACCAAAAGCGGATCAAATCTGTGGGACATGGCACAAGGAAATAATTATGGGCAAAGCAGCAATGGGGTGGCTGATGAATCCCCAAACATGCTGGTGTACAGAAAGGTAAGCTTTGTTTTATGAAATCTGAAGAAGGTGCTTCAGGAAATGGTGACGTCCTGGATTCTTTTGCTTAGCAAGTGAGACCATTGTTTTTACTGTTTCTCTCCACCTTCCTGAAGAGAAGCTACTGCTCTGCTTTGCCATGAATGGAGCAGTGTGATTTCAGGATGCAGTCATCTGATATGAATTTGGAATGTTTTGGCTGCTGACGTTTATGCTACCTAAGGCAGATCAAATGGCTTGTGAGAACTAGATCTATATCTCAGGAACTGCTAGCGACTCTTTTTTATGAAGTGACTAGATTTCTTGTTTTGAACAGCAAATTATATGTGCCTCAACTTTGCATCATCTTCAGAAACCGTTTAGAATTTGAAATCTTCATGTATTTACTTCATTTTATGTATTGAAACATATGGCATGTGATGGTGGTGATGTGTCAGAGTCTGGAAAATGTTGTGGGTTCAAGTATTCACTCGCAAAATCTAGTAGTAAAATGAATGCATGTATTATACTTATCTGCAGTCACCAGAACATAAAACCAGAAAAATTGAAACAAAACACAACATGACAACACAAACGTACACTCTGGGGATTCTCTCTGGAAAGCATTTCTAATGTAGTTATTCTAATGCCATCAATACACAAATTTCCAGATCCTGAGCTCCAACAGTGTGGTTTATATAGCTTCTACACTTTCATTTTTGTTAAAGTAGGTGCTTGGGGATTTTGTGATGGGTTGATACATTATTACTTTTCTTTATTTTAAACTTGATAATTGTGTTTATTATCATGATTTTTTTATTCACTGGGAGAGTGACACATTTTCATAATGCAGAGGAATAGCTGTTCTTGCAAATTGAAATATGTAATTACACAACTACTTGTTTATTCCTAGAATACAGTGCTTTCTAACTTGTTTGTGGTTGTTTCTGTCAGGTGGAAAAATCAATACTTTTTTTCTTAGAGCCTTCAACTTTTCTTTTTGCAATTTAACTGTAATACAAAATATCTGATACATATTCAGATAAATTTTTGAGGTGAACTGAGGTATCGCTGGTAACTGTGATGTTTTTTCCTCAGAAATTATAAAATAGTTTCAAAATGAAGACTGTTACATACTCTATTTTTTCATTCTTATTTTCAAATATGTTGCTGATTTCAGTGAGGTTTCAATGGTATTTTCCATGATTTGCCATTTTGGAAAATTATGCTTTTACACAAATGAGATTTATGAACTTAATCTTAGTTATACATGCGTGTAAGAATAGACAGCTGGAAAAAATACAGTGTACCTCATCACTAACTTCACAAGTGTGTTTCAAAATGAAATAATGTGCATGAATTTATATGTAAAAAACATGCTGTGCAGATATAAAGCAATATAGCGAAACTTATTGTCCTTTATAGGCTTCTGATGTTTTTGAACAGTACCTTTTCATATTTGACATGTACTTCTATGCTGAAAAAATGCCTATTTAGTAGATAGGGGAGGAAAAACCAGAGAAACAGTTTGTCTTCTCCAGTGGTGTGTATGTCTGAGTAGTGGGCTGAGCTTATTATCCATTATATTTAGTCTGACCTTATGCCACAATTTAACACTGCCACTGAGCAGCCTCCAGATTAAAAGGAAAGTTCTGAGGCGAATGACCAAAATGTTGGTGATGCAGGGAAAACTTGAAAATGAGGAGTGGAAATAGGACCTAAGGCCTCATGTAGTCACTCAGTGTCAAATACCTTTTCAGTAAATCAAAGGCATGGGGATGGTATCAATTTGTGTCATCTCCAGTATAACAGTGGTTCTTCTCTTAATGGCAAAGTGCAAGTGGTGTACTGAGTATTAAACTTTCACAAATACTGACCTTCTACAATATTATCTGCCATATTTATTTTTATACACTTAAACATATATATATATATATGTATATATTTGGCGTAGTAAATCAAAAGGGTCATTTAAGATGGTTAGCGTACAAAGAGTATGAACTAAGTAGTCCTTCCTTTGGGAGAACTCAAGAAATAGGCAACAAAATAATAGATAACCTTTACAAAAATCACCTACCTTTTTCTGTAATAAGATATTGGTGTAGGTGAATGTTTTATAAGTTCTGTCTAGAGCATAACAGAAAGATAGGTAGAAGTCATTTCAATTCAGAATATATAATCTCTGAATATCATTCTTTAATAGCAACAACTAAATCATGGGATTCCTTGTAATACATTAGAAAACACAATATGTCTGTCATAGTGTTGGAAATGAAAGTGTTGTGCAGAGTGAACAAGGAACTAGATTTGCTGGCTTCATGAAAACTTTTTTTTTTTTTTTTTTTCCCTTTGGCCAACTGAAAAAGTATTAATAGTTGTTAGAAAAGAAAAAAATAAGTGCTGTTGGCTGGCTTCAGAAGGAAACTAATGCTACTGAAATACACAAATGCTGGAATATTTTCTTGCTGTAGATTATACAGCGTCAACACAGGGATTAGCACAAGTTTTGTGACACGTGTGTCTGCAAGGACTAGGTGAGATACCTCTCTTGTGATAATGAAGAACTGAAATTTGGCCATGATAAATAAAGACAATGCCTTTGGCTATAAAACATGACTTAGTAGTTTTGGTTATTCTTTTAGTTTAACTCCCAGACGCTATCTGAACTAAATACAACCTAAGCTCCGTGTAGTTTCAGACTTGGATTTCCTAAATCCTCATTCTGTCAGGAGTATTTTATAGAAAATGTAAAACCTGCTCTTTACGGAATGACATTTTGGTGTTTGAAAATTAAGTATTTAAAGCTTTGAGTTGTTATAGAGTTATTATTGCACTTTAAGTACATAGAAAAGTATTGACATGTAGGCTCATTTTTTGTTATTTATTTTTATTTTTTTAAAATGTTTTTAGTTTGTCTTTGGTTTGTGATTAGTTACTCATCTGGGAGATTGAAGAAACACAGGTTATTGAAATGCAGGATAGAATATTAAGTGTAGACAACATGTTATAGTTGCCTGTATTCTCAGAGAAAGAAGAGTTTCATTGCATTCTGCTTTCAGAAATGGAATATATTTTATGCTGAATTTTTGAATTAAATATTCTGTGCTTGTCTAATTCTGAATGCTTATTTGACTCTGATAGAAAGGGTAGTAACAAACATAAATAGCTCCTTATATCATTTTTATCCTGACTCTTAAGATGCTTGTATGTCAGCGCTTTTATGCCTTGGGGAATACTTTTTATTTTAATAGAATGTCAGTTGCATTATTCTATTTGGCTATCAGCCTAATTATAAAGTAATGACATGTGACACATCATTAATACTGACATACCTTGGAAAAAGTCCCGATTTTTTTCTGCCAGTAGCCTGAGGCCAACATGAAAAATTTAAAACTCCTGCTTTTACTTCCCCTCCAACAGAGTCCATTTCAGTCAGCACTTAAAAGACATAAGACATTAGAATGCTTGCTCTTTGCTCCTACAGGGATCTTAGATTTCAGCAACACTAATTTAAGGCTGGAAGTTGAGTCTTAAAGACAATACTTCAAATGTAAATGAGGTTTATAATGTGCAGTTTTCCCTAGTTTCAGAGCTTAACTTATCCTGTTTCATCTTCTGTGTGCCACGGATAATTAAATAAGTAGAAGTTGTATTTTGAAGAACCTCATTACAGACATACTGCTGGTCCTTCTAAACCTTTATTTATCTTTCTGTTCTTACTTTTCTTAGTCAAGTATAGGCTGAAAGGATTAAGAGTTCTAATTTGGGAAGTTGATGGTTATTATACTGCTGTCTGAACTAGCTTCATTTGAGAGGTGATAGCCTTATTTTGTAAGGTTGCCCTAGTCTGAGTTCTTGTGATTGAGACTTGGATTCTCTGCTTTCCTCACTGCCCCACATGTTAAGAGCTTTTGCCAAAGCTGATTAGAATTAGTAACAGTTGATGCTTCCAGTATTGTAATGAAGCTACGGAGGTGTTCTTTTGCGTCAATTGTTGAAGGTCATATGCCAGTGCCCCTGTACTGAAAATGCTAAATTTGTGATCTCAGGTACTTCTTAGTTTACCGTCTTCTGATATTCCTGCTAGAAGCTAAGCTTCCCAGGTGTGATGCTTTAAAAATCTTGTTGTAAAAGAGCATTAGAACACTGTTACCAACTTCTAGTAACCATTGTCTTCTGCTTGTATGAGAGATGACTTCCAGTGTTGACTGCATATAATGTGATGCTCTCATGTGGCTTTTATCAAGTGTTCATTTGAAGATTGTTAGAAAAAAAATTATGAGAACTGTATTCCCCAGAGCCTATGAGATCAAGGAAGGACGTAGTAGGTGGGATTTTTTTAAGTGCTGTCACTCAGTTTGATAAGAGAAGAATTGCGCTGATGCACCGTGTTTCTGAATATGCTGTCGCAACTTATGGTTGCATCTTGCTTCCAGTGAAAACTGCAGAGTTTGCTACTACTGTGTTGTAAGTGCAAATGCCAGGGCAGACTAAAGGATGTGAAACGTAGTTTAATTAAAAATAGATGAATATACACAAAATGTAGTTTCTTCTGAGAAGAGTAGTGGTATTGCTGCAGTTAGTGTAGAGTGTGGATGCTGCTTTTGGTTTCATTCTGATTCTCCTAGGTACAGAGTCGACTTTGATATATCCACGTCTATGGACCTCAGGAATTCCAATTGTAAAAATAGCATTTTCCTCCCTATTCAGTGTGAACATCATGGGGATGTTGTCATGTTGTTCTGGAGTGGTTGGTTGCTGTTAAAGTAAAATAGATGGTATGTAGGGGGCATGAACTTGATACTGAAGGGCAGTATATTTACTAGATTCTGTGGAGTGCCTTTCATGTGGTGAAACTACATTTTGTGTTATGGTCTCATCTCTCTTCATACTAATTTTTTCCATTGTATCTTCCTGCTGTGCCACCTGAGGCTCTATCCCATCCTGGAATGCTTACTGTCAATGCTAGCTAGAGCATATATGCTTTGGCATCGTTTGTGATAACAGTGTCATAAAGGAAT